GTCAAACAACGTAGTTATATTGATGCTTACTCTCCATTAAAGGAGGAATTGTTTATAAAGGGTGGTACTAAAGCTATCATGACTACTAAAATCGCTGCTACAAAAAGCAAGCGAAGATTACACAAACAAGGGATAGAAGCTATCATCATACATAAGCGTCCAACGTCGTAGATGTGTCCAATCTCGACAACATAGGACCTATACAATAGAATAACGCCATGGGGGATTAAGAACACATCATGTGGACTAACACCTGTGATTGATACCGCACCTAGTGCCGGATTAACAATCTTAAAATCGGCTGCACTTGTAAGTGTTGAGCCTTTAGAGAGTACAGAGAGCGAGTCATCTGTATCGATTTCTTCCACTCCCGTAGTAGACCGCGCGACATAGCGACGGTAGACAAACCATGGAGCAATGAAAGATGAAGTTGGGCCCAAAAAAATGAAGATAAGTAGTAATTTGAGCCTCCAACAAGGGATATATATGCAATTTATCACCAAAGAACACGACCAGCAATGGGCGGAGCAACTACAGAGAGAAGACATTCAAAAGCTATCTAAAATGGTGTCATACACATCCAACAGTAAGATCGTTGAAGAGTATGAACACAATTCCAATAATAAACCAAGCATGGTATCACAAACATCCAAAAGTAAGATCGATGGAGAATGTGAACCCGGTTCCAGAAACATACCTAATAAAGTGTCATACACATCCAAAATTAAGATTGAAGGAGAGTATGAGCACGAATGGTAACTCACCCGGGGAGATTGAAGACAATATAGTTCTGGAGTTGTAGCGTTGATACGAACAAGAGTAGTTCCTATAAGAACATTACCGGCAAAAGCGGTGAATCTAGGAATCTCGCCGGAGCCAAGACTATTAGCGGCGAGGCTGGGATTTGAGCATATGGAGGAGACCAGTGGAGGGTGGAGGAGGACGGTGGAGGGGGACAAAACAGTTCCAGCGAATGATGTAGCAGATTAGCAGACCTGGCCCATAAATGATTAAGAATGAGGCTTAGTGGGGCTAGGCAAATTTGGGCTTAGAGGCCCATATCTCAGCTTGGGCCAGGCCCAAAACTGAACAGGGTTGGGAGGTCTGTAGGGTTTACAGTCGTTGTGGCTGAAGAGGATCCGCCGTGCTGACGGGTCGGCGAAGGAGAACCACGAAGGGAAGGTTGAAAAGCAGCCACCGGGAGATGGGTTTAAGGAGCGGTCACCGGAGACGGTGAAAAACCTTATTGAACCCGAGACAGAGCTCAGATCTAAGGTTTGAAAACGACGCAGCAACTGATGTAGATCTGGAGGCTTCGCTGGTGACTGAGTCGTTTGCCCGAGGCTGAGGACAATAGGGAACTCGCTGGATTCCATGGAAACCGACAGAGAGGGTCGCTGATTGCCAAGGCCATGATGGCCCAGAAGTTTTTCGCTGGGGTAACCGACGAAAGTTGGACCTGTTTCTAACAGATCTAATGGAAGAGCGAGCGGCGGCGGCTCGGGAGGAGGAAGAACGACCCACCTCTCAACTAGAAGAGGCATAACTGGAGAAGGAGATTTCGTAGGAGAGAGCTTCAAAGGGGTAGCTTTTTTTTGGCCATCGGGGCGGAGCCGACGCCAGAGGTCAGAGCCAGTGCCGGCAGTGGAGGAAAAGTAGGTTTGATTCGGATTCGATGTAAATCGCCTTTTTAGAGAGAAAAGTGTTATTCATTGATTTGTTTGAGTTGATTTAGTTAACATTGATATTTAACTAGTATAATAGTGGAACAAAAATATAACGTTAGAAATGGGAGTCATTTTGTTAAATATATTTGAAAATTGTTATTTTACAACGTGGAATGTACAACAATCTTTTGGAAAAAAAACGATTGTATTGGTTATTTGACGACAAATATTTCAGAGTTTTTTTTCCTAATTTCCTCAAAAATAAGTAAATAATATTTTCATTTTTGAGTTTTGAGAGAAACGAAAGGCTAACCCA